AAGACTTGCCCTGACTGGCTGCCTCAGCAGGAGACCACGTGCTGAGGCAATGGCACCTTTCCCCACCCTCCTCAACAAGTTGTTTCAGCAGCTCTCTTGTCCTCTCCTCCTGCTTCCTGCAACGGCATCTCTCCGAAATCGGTTGGTCTTACCTGCTTCTATCCCCCGTTGCGTATCTCCTTCCTGTGAAGTACTTTGGTGATGTCTCCCTTCTCCTGGAAGATGCTCAAGCCTCTTCAAGGCCTCTTTCTGCTTTGCATCAGACCACCCTGTGCTGCTTCATCTGTGTTCCCTGGCGTTGAGGCGCTCTGCAGCAAGTGCGGTTTTGCATACAGCGCCAGATACATCTGTGCTGCTACATGAGGTTCAGGAGGGTGCGTGGGACTGAAGACTCGTGGGGGAACCCCCAGTGTGTCTAACACGTGTAGTGGATGGGGACCCTCCCAATGAAGCCATTAGGAGCAGATTTCTTGCTGCTTGAAATAGCAGAGCTGCTTCAGCCGGCCTGATTCAGGCATGAAATTTGCCCTCTGTTTGGAAGGGAAGGGAGTGAGCTTGGGTTTTCCCATCATTGCTAGATGGAGACCAGCCCATGCTAAGCATCCTGGAAGCAACAAAATTAATCTCAGAAGAGGCTGCAGGCCCAAATTCCAAACCTATTGGGCATTGCACAAATGTACTCTCTTATCAAAAGCAAATGAAAGTGCAGAAGGTGTGTCTGGCCTAATCCCTTGTTTAACTTGGCAGTCTGTGGTGTGTCAGCACAGGCACTGTGGCATGCATGCAGGCTCGCGGTGCTCTCTGTCTTCTACTGGGGTGTGCTGCTGAGCAGCCCTTTAATTGTGCTCTTTTCTTTCAGGATCAGTCCATAATGCCTGAAGTGCGAGACCTCTCCGATGCCTTGCCCGACTTGCCGATGGATCCCATCACGGGTGTTGGTGTGGTTGCATCCCGGAACCGAGCACCGACAGATTATGATGTAGTAAGTAGAGCTATTTCGGCTGCTGTTGCTAATGCTTTGGTTCTACACTAATGAGGCTTTACTTTGCTGGGAACAGCATCTCTTCCAGAGAGGGCTTGCCTTCAGATGTGTGCTGTAAGAAGTAATTTGAGGTCCAGCTGCGCACCTCTCAGCCCACGGCACTTAGTGCTTTCCCCCAGTGGAGGTTTGTGGGCGCAGTCGTGCTACTTCATCTGTGCCACTCCAGAGGAGCATAATTACCTGGAGGATGGGTTTTCAGAAACAGCTGGCCACTGTGGCATGCAAATTTAATAATCTTAGTAACATTCATCCTGAAGGAGTCTTAAGTATTGCGCAAATTGTATCTCTGGATAAATGGATCCCGCATCAGCTGTTTAATCCCACAAATCAGCACTGCTCAATGATGATGAGAAGCTCCAGAATAGGAAGCAAAGAGTTTCGCAGCCAGCTGAAATTGCAGGGATAATTTTGATGGACAGAATGCAAAACTCTAAACTAAGTTTTGGCAGGACATTGGGCAGCAGGAAAGGGCAGCTGGATACAGCAGAGATGAGTACATGAATGGATAAAGGGAGGTCACTGTTTAACAGCTGCTTGTTCCATGGATTAGTTGCTGTGTAACAAACAGCATGGTTTTTCTCCCCATAGATTAGTGTCGCAAACAGTGAAATACCATAAAATACTGACTGTGCAGGGCTCTATATGGAAAGATTTGGCCTCCAGTCCATCTGCACACTGTTCGATATATCCTGCTCTGTCTGTGTTACATCCGCCTTGGGTTTCCAGAGTTGCACAGCTTGCGTGGTTGGGAGTGGAAACCAGTTGACTTGAGGCTTTGCTCAAGCTTTTCAGCTCTGGATCATTGCATATCCTGTTCAGTGTGAGAAAGAAGAAAATGGATCAGGCTGAAACAAGGGCACAAGGGAGGGAATTGTGAAAAGGCTGCTTAAAGACCTGGAAGGTTTTTGCATTTACTGCATTTTTCTGAGTGCTCATTACCTGCGTGAGCCAGGCTGTGTAATTAGCTGCTTACCCTGATAAAGGAGCATGGGACAATGTGAGAGTTGTGATAACAGAATTGCGTTCTGCCTAAATGACTGGGCAGAGAGCGCGCTCACCCCAGATAGCCTGTCTGTGGTTTAATAGGGAGCTCTAGCGCTAACGCAGTTTAAACTAAGCAAGATAAAAGAGTCTTCCTGTGGCTTAATCCAATTACAGTGGTGTTGTAATAATGCTTGTGAATGTGGGTCGCTCTCTCCTGGGGGGTACAGAGAGGAGGCTGCCTTTCCTCTGGTTCTTCTGCCTTCCTCTCTGTTTACAAGGAGCATTCCTCTGACCTTGGGGCCAGCAGTCCCTACTGCAAGCTGTGGGGAAGTGCCTGCTGTCTGCAGCTGTCTTATCCTAAGCACAGCTTTCACACACTGCTTCAGCTGCATGTGGCACATCAGCAGTCCAGCTCCGTGCCTGGGTGCTGGGAGCCATGGTCAGTGTGTCCTTTCCACCGTAGCTGCTCAGGGTGCCACCGTGATGCGACAAGGTGGCCTGGTGCCCAGACCCACAGGATGGTGGCATGCAGAGCTGCTTTACTTGCCTGGATGTTTGGGAAGGTGGCTCCTCTGCGTGAGGCTGGGCTCTGGAGCAGTGTGTGGTATGCAGGGTTGTCACTTCCCTGTGACTTCTGTGGAACTCGGTCTGCTCTACCCGAAGGCATGAAGCCAAGTATGCAGAAATGCCCTTCTCATTGCAGTAGTGGAAGTCATGTTCTGAGACACGGGCAACGTGCAGACTTGGGCAGTCTTGGGCTGTGTTTCCTCTGCTATTTCCCTGATGAAACACCAACAGTTGATTGTTACTTCAGGGTGTGAAGTCTTGATGAAGGCAGCTGTGGCAGCTCTATCCTAGGAGTGTACTCCTGAAAGCCCTGTTTATCTTGGAATGTTGTAGTCCTCATAGGGATCTGATCGCTTTGCCTTTTGCTACAGCATCCTGCAGCATTCAGTTCCACAGGTGGATTCAGAGTTGCATGGGAAAGTGTTTCCTCTTATTAGCAATGAATTGGACATCATGTAGTTTCATAGTAGTTTGGAGTTTTGTGATGGTCGAGTACCCAGTTCTCTCTGAAACAGCAATGTTATTTATAGGCTTTGCCCAGTTCCCTCTTCGTTCATGTCCTTTCTCCAACAACCAACCATAGCATATTCTTTTCCTTCCTTTTGCCGTTGCTCCTCTTTAAAACAAACCAAGCAAAGGCATGGGTGCTTTCAGCCCAAGTGTAGGTTAAATTCCTTAGGGATGTTCCTGTCTGTTTCCCAGGTTCGCATGGAGCTTGGGGTTTGGCATCTTGCCCAGCTGGAGGTGGCAGCGTAGTAAAGCCATGGGGACCAGACCCAGGGGAAACGTGGCAAATAGGTCAGAGATCTTTCTCCCTTAGTAGTTTATTTACTCAGAAATCTCCATTGCCTTTGTGTCTGCTTAGAAAACAACTTGTCATGACTAGCCAGGTCTTTTAACAGCTGAAGCACCAAAGACTTGATTTTGCCAAAATGTACAGTATGTCTTTAACTTAGATTCCTGAAAATCTGCCCAAACTGGCAAGACTGAGCATATGGGTGGGGAGGAAAGGGAGGAGAGGTGGGAGGCAGGGAGCCTGGGGTAGGAGAGAGGTGTGGTTCCTGTGCAGCCACATTGCTTGCTGCAGGCTTGAATGTCAGCTCCGTATGGGGTTTGCTCTGGGGCGAGAGCGTAAGCATGCTGCTTATCCAGGGCTGTGTTGGAGAGGGGTGTTTGTAGCACATGCTTGAGGAGTGTTTTCCTTAGCTCCATAAAGACATGGACCATTCCTTGTGCCTGGGTCCCAGTGCTGTGTGCCATCTCCTCCATGCAGCACGTGCCTCACCTCTTAGCCAGGCAGACTCGGTGAGCTGGGGCTGCACAGGACAGCCAGGTCTGCCTTGGCCTCTCCAGGCAGGCTCCCCTCCTGTGTTGCCCTACCAAGGGCACTCTGCTATCGCAAATCAGCACTGCTCAGGCACAGCACTGCTTCAGGAGGTGGTGGGGATCCTCCTTGCATGCAGGAGCCCAGCAGATGATGTAACAAGTTTCCTGTTTATATTGCACTGTTTTCTTTCCCCATAAGTTTTCTGACAAGTTAATGCATGCTTATGTTCTCCAGGCTTGGAAGAAGAGTTCAGCAG